AGAGTGGACCAGTTCAACACTTTAGTGGCTATGGATTATATTGTCCTGCAGGGAGCAAAATGTAGATCCCAAGCTCCACTGGGAAGAGAAAAAAAATCTCATGGGTGAGAGTATTCTAGAGCAATGCTGAAGGTTCTAGTGATCTCCTACACAGGATGGCCTATTGTGAAGCATTATAGAGAACTAGGGATTCCTTTACCCCAACGGAGAGACACACTGCTCTTACTTTTAGTCTGTCCAGCTCCTGTAGTTCCTTGTTAAAAGAGGATAACATGGAAGAATTTGCTGTTCCACTTTGGGAGGATGGATTGTCCTCACATTCACTGAGCTCACGAGAGAGTTTCATGATCACTTCATCTTTGGCTTGAATTGTTTCCATTAACATACCCAGCTGCTCATTGAGTTCTCCAACTTTGCATTTCAGATTCTTTACTTCCTGCTGGAGACTATCTTTTTCCAGATTTAGCTTTTCAAGCTGGTTGTTGAGACCCAAAATCTGATCATCTTTTTGGTGTAGCAGCTCTAATTTGTCTTTTGGAACCCTGTCACAAAGATGGCTTGCAAAGTATTTATCGTACTGGGAAGACCGGACTGTCTGCTGCAAGAGTCGCACAAGTTCCTGAAAAGAGTAAAGTAAAGTGAGGGTGGAGAAAAGGCAGGAGACATTACAGCCTAAGAATATAATTATGTAAAACGAAAGAAAAAAAGACTTGGAATATTACATGAAGTAACAAGTGCAAATGGAATAAAGTCAGTGGGTTTTTGGAGGCCACTGAAGCAAAGAACAATAATTCTAAGTGGGTACATACACCTGGCACACCATTAACTGATGTATGTATTAAGCTATATTATGTGTCATTCTTGCAGAAAGCAGTGTCAGCTGTGGCCCATTAGGTAGCTGAAGAGTGGAACTGAGCTCATTAAGAGGAAGCTCTAATAGGCTATACATTTCAATAGGATGTAATGGGGCTGTACTTCTGGGATAGAGGAATGGAACTCCTCCCCTAAACTAAGATGAAGGGTAGAGCCTGGGATTGAGACTAGTGTTCTCTCCTGGGGGCCCAGTGAAGATGGATCTGGAAGTTCACAGTGGTTTGAAGAAACATGTAGATGTGTCTAGGTTGAACCAGGTCCTCACGACAGTGGAGATACTGGTGGATTATTTTGTTCCCTAGAATAAAACAGGATACAGCAGAGAGAACTGTGCCTATAAGCCTACCTATCAAGCCTGAGATCCTTGGAGGCATTTGGAGCAACCCTATGGATTTCGAGAGATAGGTTTCCCATGTAACAGGAAAGCCAGACTCTCTTTTCTTCATCCTCCCCTGGGGTTTATCACCTTTCTTTGGGTATTTTATTCCAAAGAGCCTGCTGAAGGGAACAGTTGGAGCCCTAACCCAGCTGGAAAACCTCAAGTCTCTTACAAGAGTGCTCTGCACAATCAAGGAACCAATGCTGAATTGACTGGTCAGAGATGAGGTCACTGATAACCTAATGGGTATCAGCATATCACATCATCACCTGGGGTTGGTAGTCAATAAGGAAGTGGATGCTAAGAGAATCTATCAGTATTCAGTGTTGACTCCAGGCTTGATTATTTTAACTCATATCTAGGAATGAATGTACATACCCTAAAAAACTTTCGACTGCTACAAAATGCAGACTGTTTAATCATGTAAGTTACTGTGAACACACCCTTCTGGCGCTCAGCTCCCAAAGAACCCAGTTCGACATATCTGTCCTGATATTCAAAGCTCTCTGCTAGATTAGTCCTAGCTTTCTTTAAGATAATAATTCTTGGCTATGGAAGAAGTAGCTATGACAGGTATGTTCTATTGGACCAATGAAACTATCAACCAACTGGGAGGAGACCGGTGAGTGTAGAAGTAAGAATTCTCACAGGAGCTGGATCTAGAATAGGGAATTCACTCCTACGAGAGGACTGACTGCTTTCCACAAGTAAATGTGGAACTCATTTAAATTTAGTTAGCTTTCCCCTCAATAAGGTCACACAGGAAAATTCAAAACATAATCTAATAAAGTTGGAAAGAAACAGAGTTGTTTCTACTAGCTTTAAATACGTGGAAAACACTCATTTACTACAACAATAGGGGCTATGCAAGTACCTACACAGTGTGTGGATCAGTACTTAAAGTTGCTGGTCTAAGCCTTGTACCATGCTCTATCAAACCCTGTTGGTGATACAGACTGTATCCAAATTAGGCATAAATGCTTGTTTTTCTCTAATGTGATTAGGAAAGAGATGGATCTCAAACATGAGAAGTTCTCTGAGGGAGAACAAAGGGGGACTGCAGATACAGGGGGTGAATAGTCTTTAATTCCCTGCAGACATACTCTGGAAAGCTGGTTTCAATGGGTAAATAAGGGAGGATATAAAAGCCAAAAGAGCAGTTACTGAACCCTATGCAACCTAAAGACTTTTCCATCTCTTGGTACTCTGTTTTGAGATTTTCAAATGCACAGGTACATTTAGCATTGGTGTTTGTAGTTTAAAAGGGTGGATTTACTCTCACTTGTGGACAGGCCTGACAATGCTGTGCTTGTCCTTCTTGTGTGAATTACCTTTTGGCTCGACAAATCTTTCTTTAGCCTTTCCAACTCTTCTTGCTGGCTTTGAAACTTCAGTTGCATTTCAGAAGCTAGTTTGTTGCCATTCCCAGAATTCCATTCAACTGGAGATGTGTCACTGCTATTCCGATTTTTGCTTGATCCAATCATTTCTTTCAATGGACGTCTTGCTTTGTATGGAATACGGCCAAAATCAAATGGAAAGGCTGAACTAGTCACTCCTGTGTAAAACAATTTGTTCTAGAGGTTTCAATGCATTCAAAAAGTTTCTTTATAAAATATATGTCTGCATTTGCTCATTAAAATTAGACTTATACCAAAGTTTAAACACACCCAACACATCGTTGTTGAGTATGACTCATTTTCCAAGTTGCTTCCTTTGACATCTCTTTTGGCATTAAAGGTCTTTTTTTAGAGAGACCATGAATGTGAGACTGAGGAAATACGCTTGACTAATTAAACAGAATTTTACATACTCACTACAAAAAATGAAAGACTTTCCAAGCCACCAAGTTTACTTTGCCATGGAAGCAAACTACAGTTAACTGCTAAGATTTCTTCTGTTTTAAACAACTATGGCCCTAACCTTAAAATCAGACCCAACAGGCAGCCACACCTGTGCAGCACCATTTAAGCTACTAGCGTTCTCCATAGGTGTGAGGGTCCTCCTGAATGGAGCAGATTGCAGGGATGAGTGCCTTTGTTTAGACAGAAGGATGCTATCTCCTACATTAACTAATGCTTCAGGACAACCAAAGAGCTCTAAAGAGTTGTGCAAATTTTCATGAAGTTACTCCAAAAACTTATGACTATAAGATTTAATCAAAGCATAGATACATTTCCCACCCATTATACCCCTCCCTCGTCAAGTAGCAGCAACCAGGATGTTGCTTCATTCACTTTGGATGAAGAGTGACACCTCTGAAGTCTGAAGCCAGTGACTTCCCTGAGTGGCTGGCTCTACATAAGATTATAACCAAAGATCTTGACTCTTTCCTTCCCTCTTGTAGCCCTGCGTCTCAACAACAAAACAAAGACACGCCTGCCCACGGAGTCAAATACAAGAGATCTCTCGTATACCTTTGTTACATGCACCACAGAATACAGTACTATGGACAAACCGCTGTTTGAACCTTGAATACATCACAAGGAGATAATTTCATGTGCAAAGGAATGGTTGTACATACAAAGATTTGGTTTGCAAACAAATGACTGAATTCTTGTTATATTTTCGGAAGATACAGCTAACAGTGTGGTATATTAACAGAAAAACAATGGTACCTTTGTTTCCTTCTGATGCATGTTTCCGCCTTTCTTCCAGTGCCATTGACTCCTCTAAGTCCTTTTGGGTTGGATCTAACATCTCCCACTCTTCGCTGGTATAAAACACACTCTTACGATTTTCACTGTTTCCTTTTCCAGATCTTAAGGAAGACATTGAATTTCTGTGGAATAAAGAAAATAATCACAGTGATGCCATTTTCTCTCTTGAGGGGGGAGTATATTTTTTTAAATTTACCTTTTTAGTCACATCTTATGAAAATCACCTTTTTAGTCACATCTTATATGTACACCTTATGAAAATCACCCAAACAACATACACTTTCAAAACACATCAATGAATCCTCTTTGTTAAACAGAGCTTAAATTAACAAAACCAATGCTAAATAAAATGCAAACAAAAACCAAGTAGTTGTGTCCTGTAATACCTACCATCAGTATTTAAGCACTGATCATAACATATTCAAGGGCCAGGAGAGTGGCTTTGCTGCAGCACGTGGTACTGTGAGGCAAATGACCAAAATACATGAGATCGCTATGGTCTCTCTCTCCTGGCCCTGCTCTATCCATTTGTTTTGGCAGTGAAACATTTGGTTTTTCTGGGGAGTGGGGCTTTGTTTTCTTTGTTTTTAATCTATTTATTTAAATAGTTCTTTATTTTAAATTTAGGGTAAACAACTGCTAAGCGTTAAACAGAATAGGGAGTATGCAGGTCAAAAGGCTACTGTATATTATCATATCACAAACTAAATTAACATAAAATTGGGGTCATCCAAAAGCGGAATCTATTGTAGTTACACAGATGTTGAGGAGAGAATCTCCATGCTAGTTAGAATGCTGCCAAGCTATTTGCAAGGGACTTGCAAAGGCAATCTCTAGGCTCCAATCTGACAGTTTTGTAGGAAGCTTAACCTATTTTTCATATGAGTAAAAGATTTTATGCTATAGAAGCACTGTAGTCACAAAGGCCTAAACCAACACTGCATATCAATATATTTGTGCACTTCAGACAGATCTGAACATTGCATCTCAAGTCTCTTTCTAAATGTAGCACCGCTACATTTAAGGATCAGTTAACTTGTCAAATACAAGTATGTTTAATCTCCAGCCTTTAAGGATGGAGGCCCCATCTTCACCCTTTCTTGGAAGCAGCTCACCTCCCGTTTATGGGAAAGTAATTGACTTACAATGCGTATTTGACCATACAGGTGTCTCACTATTGAGACTATTTGCTGGCTTGACCCAGTGCTTCCCTAAAGTTTTACAGGAAATCTGTCATCTGAGCTAAGTGATCTGATACACTATACATATCACAATACCATGATTCCAAATAATTTGGTTCAATTAAGCAGTCTGATAATGATCATTTTGATACAGTTTTTTTAAACCACAATGTAATCCTTCATAAAGCAAGGAACATCTGATTTGCAAACTTGGCTGGGATTTGATTATGTATTCAGTAATCTTTTCACGGCTATTCTTTCTGTGTATGTAGGACTACACAATCCACATGGGAAAGTGAGCCAGTTATTTCTAAGTCACTGGTTCAGATCCAGCCCCGGTCCTTAGACAGACATCTACAAAGTCTGTGTGGAGTGAATGTGGCAGTCTCCGACTAGTTTCTGGTGAACAAGAATCCATATCACAAAACTCACAGACATCTCTCTAGGAATTCTCAGTATAGAAGCAAAGGATTGAGCTAAAGCCCACTTCATCGGATGCATAGAATGGAACATATAGTAAGGAGATATATGTTCCATTCTATGCATCCGAAGAAGTGGGCTGTAGCCCACGAAAGCTTATGCTCAAATAAATTTGTTAGTCTCTAAGGTGCCACAAGTACTCCTGTTCTTTTTGCAGATACAGACTAACACGGCTGCTACTCTGAAACCTATGTTTATTTAGAAAGAGTAATGAGGCAAGAGAAACAATAATAAGCAAAAGGTACTTGAGAATGTTTTTCAAATATTCCCCATGAGGGCAAGTATCATCATAGTTGGTGTTCAATTTCTACATGTACTTTTCATAAGGACTTTGTTTGCTGACTCTTTGAGGATTGAGGATTAAGTATGTGCTATTGGACTACAAATTAAGAATAGAGAGTAGCTGGTTGAATTCCTTTATAATATGTATTTAAATAATTAAATACAGCATACTTCCCCCCAGCCCCTCCCATTACTGAAATTTATGTAAAGCAATAGTACCACAGGACTTTAGGTTTACAGAGCTACAACAGCAAACCAAGGTAGTTTATTCTTTTAAATAATATTTTAATGATATATAGTTACACAAAATCTGTGAAAATTCAAAATGATCTACTGGCTCATTCTATATTATGAAATCCCATCATATGATTAGGTAACTCAGGGGTTAGTACAGTACATCCTTTTAAACAAGCAAGACTCTACATAAACAAATGAGGCTGCAGGAACTGTCAGCATAAGAAGGAAGGACTATTCAGCTCTGAACATTTATCTGATCCAATTAGTTTTTGGTGGCTTCAATTGTTGAAAGCTGATTTAAAATGAAAGCAACTTCCAGCTTAGGCAAGTGCAATTAACGTGCACATATAGTACATTCTTTATATGAAACATACTCTCTTCACTTCCCTCTTGTTATTTCTTTACTGTTGCTTAGGGCATATGCAGATATTACAACAAGCCCTTGCTGTCAAGCAGATGTTAACCATATGTTAAAGCTCTACACAAAGAACCACTGTGATGAAATTGTGCTGCATAGCTAAAGAAGCAAGAATGGTCTTGTGTTTAAGACACTGACCTAGGGGACTCAGCAAGTATGGGCTCCCAGCACTGCCACAGACTTCCTCTGAAACCTTGGATAAATCCCTTCATCTCCTTGCCTCGGTTCACTTTCTGTACTATAGAGTTAACAGTAATTCCAAATTCACATCCATGAAAAACGCGTCACGGACCATGAAATCTGGTCTCCCCGCCATGAAAACTGGCCTTTTGTGCGCTTTTACCCTATACTATACAGATTTCATGGGGGAAGACTGGTGTTTCTTAAATTGGGGGTCCTGACCCAAAAAGGAGTTACAGAAGGGTCCCAAGATTATTTTAGTGTGGTCATGGTATTGCCACCCTTACTTCTGCGCTGCCTTCAGAGCTGAGTGGCCGGAGAGCAGCAGCTATTGGCCAGGCACCCAGCTCTGAAGGCAGCTCCCCACCAGCAGCAGTGCAGAAGTAAGGGTGGCAATAACATACCATGCCACCCTTATTTCTGCCCTGCTACCTTCAGAGCTGAGCTCCCAGCCAGCAGCCACCGCTCTCCAGCTGCTCAGCTGTGAATGCAGTGCTGCAGCCAGAAGCGCAGAAGTACCGCAACCCTCCCTACCACTTCTTTTGGGTCAGGACCCCTACAATTACAATACCGTGAAATTTCAGATTTAAGTAGCTGAAACCATGAAATTTATGATTTTTATAATCCCATGACTGTGAAATTGACCAAAATGGACTGTGAGTTTGGTAGGGCCCTACTAATAGTGTGTTGCAAGAATTAATTAATCCATCTCTGTATAAGGCACACAGATACTAAGGTGCTGAAAACCACAATATGACCTATACAAATAAATAAAATTGCTTAATGTTTAGATACTATCCTTCCCATTCCTCAACTATATTAGCTCTGCATCTTGGGTATTTCTAGGTTGTCTATCACGTCAATAGCCTGCTTAGCCATCATTAACTATTATATTACAGTAAAACTCAATTCTAATCAGGTGAAAAACTGATTTTTATTTGTATTTTAAGTTTATGATTATGAAGATGTCATTAACTACCCCTTAAGGATCGGATTCCGTAAGCACTCTATAAGCAGAAATTGCTTCAGCTAATCAGAGTTCTATCTTACATACAAAAAACTATGTTAAAAGAACATTAAGATTGCAAAGTCCAGCACTCAAAAGTTAGGAAGTTTAAATAAGGTTGCCTGTGCAACTTTCATTTGGGTCCCTCATGCATATGCATTATGATATAGTCTTTACTTACATGATCACATACTATATTTTTCCCCACAGGACGCCACCTTATTCAGTGTACTGAATCGACAGTGCTCAGTTAATGAGCAGCTCTACAATATTTTCTTTTATCCTCATTATTCAATGCATGGGCCTAGACCTTATTTACTGCACACTATTCAAACCCTGCTCTGAAGACAGAATTTCCTCATGGGCTTTTCCATGGTGCGCATCTCTATGGTATTGATACTTCAGAAACAATTAATTTATCTTCATGAAACCCTGTGAGAGGGAGGTTTATCCTCATTTTACAGGTGGGGAACTGAGACGCAGATATTAAGGTCAAAAGTAATCACTAATTTTGGATGTCCAACTTGAGATGGCTAGGATTGGATTTTCAAGAATTATAGAACACTTTATATGTTCAAAGCATAGTTCCCAATGACTGCAGATGTAAGTGCTCAGCACTTCTGTATATCAGACACTACAGTCTCAGGCTGTGCACCCAGAATATAAAAAAAAAACAGTCAGTGACCACCTGTGAAAAGTTTGGTTGAAGTGATTTGCTTAGCATCACACAGGATCTCTCCAGCACAGGCAGTGACAGAACCCAGTTCTCCAGGGCAGCACTCAATTGTCTTAACCATGAGATCATCCTTTCTCTTCCTGCAGCCTCCTACCTCATTCACGACACACCTTCCAACTTCTGTGCCTAACTAATTTCATTTAAAGGTTTCCTTATTTAACTCAACTGAACCACTAAAAAAAAAAAAATTATTCTCAATGACAGAACAAGAAGGACGTGGCCTAGTTGACAGGACAGCAGCCACTGCATCATGAACTGCTCTAACATCCTGGGGAAAGGATCAGCTGTCTTTTGAACAGTAGCAGAAGGTCACTAGACAGATTATATGAAATGTTCATAAAGAACCTATAGTAATAGGAGAGCCAGAAGTCAGTCACTGTACGACTGTTATTGAAAACAATTGGTGTCAAAGAGTGAACTCAAGTAAACTTGTCTTAAAATAGTTACTTCCATTCCATGCTTTTTAAAAAAATGTTTCTTACTTTAAGAAAGTGGTTGTCATAACTTGCTCAATGTTGGCCTGAACTTCTTGTATTTAATCTACAGTATATATCTTTTTTAAAAATGG